CCATTTTTGATATTGCAAATAAAAAATGGACTTCATAACAAAAAAAATCATTATTTTTTTTTACAAGTGTAATATGAAATGTGACACTAATTTGAGTTTTAAATATTTGGTGTGTGCAGAAGGTTCCAATGATTTTTATGAAAATTTAGTTAATAATATATATATTTACTAATCATTGTTGACATTTTATTACTTTATGTCAACATCCAGAAAGTTTTTGAATTCCATTTTAATAAAACAACTTTCACTTCAACACAATAAAGCAAACAATGAGATTTTGAGCATAGAAGACATCTTAAGATTTTTGACACAATCCAATAGCATCAAATTTGGTGAATATTCTGTGTGAGGAAGAATTTCTTATCCTAAATTCATATTTTTTTTTTTTAAGGTAATCTGTAATACTGTATAATTTTCATATCCTACCAAATATAATACAATGACTTATATTGAGGTAGGAAGTTAGGCTGCAACACCATAAACAAGACCTATCCTGAATCCAAATATGATATTTCGGATAATCATAGTGAATCCACTTTTCATTACCAGTGACATCTTCCACTAGAAAAAAAAATCCTTTTTCATACTTACCAAGAAGAGTGATATACAAGCAGAACAAGGCTTTGATAATTCAAATGGAATCCATTTTCTTACTTTTTGAATCTTCCCTATACTTTGCAAATGTCTTACAACTGTTTAGTGATCAACAATTTTTTCAGCCAATTTCAACAATGATAGAGTTGGGTCATCATCCAAAAGTACTTGCAAGTCATGGCCTTCATATTGTGATTTACTGCTATGTAGTTTCTCCTCCAAATTAAATTCACCTTCCATGAATTTCACAATCCCTTCACATGTACTTCAACTGAAATATCTTCATAGGATTCATCAAAGCTTCTGCTGCTCTTTTGCACAGCTTGAAAAACACCAACATACAGTGTTGCACATGTATCTTGTTTGACACCATTTTCCTCTCACCTCTCCAACACAATAAAAGAACACTGGAGACAGAAACTAGTTTTTAACTGTGTATTTAGTTTCTACTTTTCAAAAGGAGAAAATATTAGGAACTTTTGCACACACCTAATATATATTTGATGTATATAATATATATACAGGAAGTAGTATTTTCCACTAGCTGATCAAAGCTTTCTTTTCATGTTTATAACTTTAGAATAAAACAGATGTCTCCACTGATTTCACTTAGTCAAAAATTAATCTATACTGGCTGTTGTGATGCTTTTCAGCCTTTTTTTTTACAAAGTGCATAAATTTTCTCATTTCTTTGATCAGATAATGCTTTAATTTTATCATTTATTGATTAATGGGTTCACTGATCAGTCACTTGGAAAGTGTTCAAATATGAAACCATATTTCAGTGGTATGAAACATTCTTTTAATTTATTTTAACTAAAGTTCATACAGGATTTTTTTTTTTCTTTTGGCTCCTTTATTTGAAATCTGGTCATTTTTTTAAATTTATTTATTTTAGAATTAACTGAATTGTTGAAAGTAACTGAAGGTAACTGTTAGGTATTTATTTTAAATCATATAAGACAAGACAGTTTCGTTTCACTTGAAAATTTGCATTTGAACTTTCAGATCTAATTTGAGATCTTGTGCTTTACTCAATGTAATTGATAAATTTTATCAATTTTTTTATTATTATTATTATTATTATTATTATAATAATAATGATGAAGAAACAGGTTACTCTCAGCATAGACAAACTTTGCTGCCAGTGTGCCACATTTATGTCAAATATGATTAAATGATCTTTGTCAGTTAATCAGTATAAATAATCTGAAATTTAAGTTTAAAGGTCATTGAAAGCCTGTAACAGATGTGGAAAACTCTTTGCTCACAAATCCAAGAAGGATAATTTTATTTAAGGCATTTATTAATGAACTGATCAGATTTCTCAATCTTATTTAATATTCATGATTGAGTATTCAAAGTGATTTCTAATTCTTTTATTTAATTAACTTTTTTTAGTTAATGATGTATTACTGGCTCAATGTACAACTTTTGGGAAACTCTGATAAGTCATAATATTGACTTATATGAACTGTATGCCCATTCTTTGTGCCCACAACATTTTGACTAGCTATTTTCTGGTATTTCTCAGGTGTTGTAAACACTCAATTATGTATATGTACCCACCCACTCCTCTAGAACTAATGTGTAATGTTTTCTAGTCAATATAAAGAATAATGTTTAATACAGTTTCTCAACTAATGGGTCCAATTCATCCTGAAAGGTAGCCAGGTGTGCCCCAAGTTAACAGGAATTTATGAATTATTTTTATATTTAAAAAAAGCTTATTTTTAAAAAGCTAGACACCAAGCATGTAGCTTCCAAAATTAAGTCTTTGTCATTTGATATTTAAACTTTTTAAAAGGAGTCGATAATCCTTTCCCTTTTGCCTTTCCCAATAAATTTACATCAGTCATTATCCATTATTGGCCTCTTTAAAAAAAAAAAATAGCAAATTCTTCATAAATCCCTTTAAATGAAAACTGTACTGCTAATCCTCTTTGGGGATGCTAAACCAAAAGTGACAACCATCAAAAGTAATTTTCTTTATTATTTTCCTATTTTCATGACTAATTTTTCCTTATTAAAATTTAAAGTGCACCCGAGAGTTTTAGTTATTCTACAGGTGCACGGTCCTGAAGTACAAAAGATTTGAGAAACACTGCTCTAATAATTTATCTGTCAGACTAACTGAATAGTAGTATAGTTCAAAATCTAAAATGATATTGAGAGAAAATATTGATTATTTGCCATCTGTTCAAAACATTGGATAATTTCAAAATGGAATAAAGATAAATGTTATGATATACAAATGAAAAGGTGTAATTTTTATTACATAATCTTTAGAATACCTAAGAAGTTTTTTAATTTATTTGTTTTTGTCTTTTCTTAAATAGGTGAATTAAAAAAGTTAAAATAGAAACAAAGAAAAGTACTACACAAATGTCAGTATATGGGGGCGAGGAGAGCTGTTTGACAAAGACTGTAATATCCATCAAATGTTTGTTTACATTTTGTTTTGGTATTCTTTAATTAGTCCCATAAGTTTGTATTACTTCTTTCTTGCCTAATTTTGATATTTTAAAAATACAAGTAGTGTCACCAATTGAGTATTAATTTTTTGTTATCTTTCCAATTGTAGTGTTAGGGTCTTTTAGTTTTCTTCATATTATTTTCTTTTTCCTAAACTTGCCCAAGTATAGATCATTTGATTTCAATACTGTCACACTGATTTTTTACTTATTCATAAATATATTAAACTCCAAAGTTGTTCCCAAATATAAGTTTGAAGTATGTATTTTTATACACATTTTAGCAGTTTGGTCATCTACTTTCTAAAAACACAAATAATAAATATAAGGACCTATTTAATATAGAATTTGTATTTCTTGCTTTATATTTTAAACATGAGTAATATTACTGTTTATTGAAACCAGTTATAAACTTAGAGGGGTTGGAATGGTCTTGATATCAACTTTTGAGCATTATTGATTTAACTTAAGCAACTGCTATTGTTCTTCTATAGTTTGGGAGATTTGATCGATAGTTACCAATATTAGTGTGGAATAAAAAAGCTAATCTTCTCCACAATAGATAATGCCACCCCCAACAATTAAATAAGATTAGTCAGTCTTTAATAAAGCCTGAAATATTTTATTTTATTTTCAGATTATTTTGATGTAAAATCCAAATATAACTATTTAAGTCTATTGTAAACATTGACTTTGTTACTTGATCTAAGCATATAGAATGGCTTTCATATCAACCACCAAACCAACCACTCTATGAGTATCTGTCAAACCCTTTTGCTGTATTTGCCTCCTAAGCATTCTTCCTGTACTTCACCCTAACTACCATTTTTTGCCTTTTCCCAACTTTCTTTATATTCTCAAACTTCAAAAAATGTACCAAATGTTTTCTTTAACCAATGTGGTGGAGGGTATTTATTTTTGTTCAATTTTTATTGTATAAAAAAAAAAAAATCTTTAATTTGATTATTTTAAACATATTAACAAGAAAGATGTTTTCACATTTCACCAGAATAACATGCTACAAGGGTGTGCTGAAATGTTCCTAACCTGATAAATAAGCCTTTCCAAAAAAAAAAAAAAATTCTAATGTTTGTTCAGATTTTGGGAAATGGGTCTGAGAACTTTTCAGCACCTCTCTTCATATTAACAAAAAAAAAAGAAAAGCTTACCAGATCAGCTGAATCCCTTACCATTTTACCTGCTTGCTTTTTAGAAATTTTTTGTTAAGAATTATTACAAACCAATTTGGAAACCTAGAAACATTTTATCCTTGAAAAATGTAAAATTTAATAAGTTTGATTTTTTTTTTTTTTTTTTTTTTAAATGTTTTAATTATTTCCTCATTTGAATGTATTTTAATGACAACATAATTGTTATTTAATAATTTCATGTTTTATTCATATATCTTATTGTTAGCTCAAAAACATCTTTTCTTAATGATTCAATTTCCTTTTTCTATTTTCAAATTTTGTTATTTTCAAATTACTACAGATTTTGGTACATGTAAAACACTTTTAGAAAGATAAACAACTTTGTGTTGTCTCTGTAAATAAAAGAACTTTTTTATATTATGGCATAAATACTTCATTTTCCTTATATTTATTTCTTATTTAATTATTTTTCTTTCACTTTTGTAATAAAATCTGAGAAGAAAATTACACACACTGTATAACTTCTAATTTTATGACATTATTTTCTTGCAATTATTGTTTAAAGTATAATGCAGAAATTCAAAGTTTAATTTTTAAATTATAACATATGTATTTACTCAGTGTTCTTTTTGTTGTTGTATGTAGGCAGCATATGCAATATATTTCACAATGATAATATTTCTATATACTTTATAACATAAAAAATTTAATTTTATTTACATATAATATCTTTAAAATTACAGAAATATTTTGTCTTAACGTATATTCATTGTTTTGGTAGATCTGCTCCTGAATTTGGAAGTCTAACGAAAGAACCCTTATTCCGAAGTGCGAGTGTGGCTCATGCAAAGCTTGGACAATTGCAAGGTTCACAGACTGTTCCCTTTGTGGGAAATGCCAAAAAGACTGGTCGACAAGATTCTATAAAAAATACAAGGTGCCGCTCAGCACCTGGACCTCGAGCATGTGAAAATTCTGAGACTGAAGGTGCAGAAGAAGTAATTGAGGAACTGAAATTGTCTGATCCAACTTCACCTGCAGATTCCAATAATGAACAGGCTTCAGATTCTAAAAAACATGCTGAATCAAAGAAAACACCTCCAAGTTGTCAGTCTCCTACAAATGGTAGCACGGGTTCTCCAAAGCCAAAGAAAACAATATTTGAAGGATTCCGAAATACTTTGCGAAAATCCAAAGGTGAAAACTGCGGAAATCGGTCATCTGAAGTTTTCACAAATGCACACTCAATGCCAGATATTGTTCAAGAAAGTGGTGAGCGGAGTAACTCAGGGGATAGTACTGGCTCACTAAAACAAGCTAGTATGGACTTGAGTCAGACTGAAGTTGAGCTGTTACCGGTAAGTGTGCGAGCTGGTTTGAATAGATGATAGTAGCATCTAATGAGAAGGCACGCTTGACTTGTTCCATGACAAATTCTAGAATGTTAGCAAATTGCATGACACTTCATTTCTGCAGATTCCCTTTCCATTTTTTTCCTCTTGTTTTCATTCTTAAGTTTTATTCATTCCCTTTTTTCTTTCTCTCTCTCTCTCTCCCTCTCTCCCTTGGTGGTGATTGTAATTTCTTCTGAATGCATGCCATCCTCTTTATCTTAAATAAGCTGCGCATTTCAATCCTATCACAGTTTTATGAAAAATTTAAAATAAATATGGCATCAAGAGATATATTAAATAATTATATAAATATTGTCTCTAAAATGAATGAATATTAAAAAAAATAAATTTCTGGAAAGTTTTGATGTTCTTCAAACTGACCGTTTTTCTTTGAGCACTCATTCCAACTTTGGTTAATGCCATCCTGTAAGTGCATTCTACCAAAACTTTTCAATCATATAAACTTAAAATTTATCCCTTTTGAGATAGAATATTGACATATTGTGATTACAACAGAATAAAAATTGACACTGAATAATTTCTTATAAATATTTCAAACTTATTTAAAGAAATTAAAATTAACAAAAGTAATAAAAATGACCCAGCTTCTCTTTTAACTGAATGTTCAGAATAAATATCATTATTAATTTATATTTATGTATGAAAATATAGCTTCAAAATGTGCATTGCTGTAAAGTGTTTAGTAAATTTGATTGAAAAAAAAAAGACCTTTTTTAAATATTAAATGTTATTTTAAACATCAATAATAGTTAACTCTCCTTCTGTGGGGACACCTTCAGAATCTTAACATATCAACATTATGCTTACCACTGGTTGTCTAATATTGAATCCAGTAATAGAATGGCCCATTGGTATTTAAAAAAAATACTAATAAATGTAGTTATAATAGACATAGTTGTGGTAGACATTTTTTTTTTATTTTCTGTATGGCCCAATGAATCCTTAAGTTAACTATTTTTCTTTAAAGTGTGATTTGATTTTTTTTTTTCCCTTATCTCTATGTATCATCTCTATTTATCTTTCGATGTAATCTCTGAAATTGTTGATGTGGTAATCTGAAAGTGAGAGGAAACAAAAAATGTTATTTTTCGCATAATTAACAATTTTTTTTTTTTTTTCTTAACTTTCTTTCTCTTATGAGTTTCCACTAAGAAGTGATTGGTAGTATCAATTCTTGTAATTTATATTTGATTTATTATTGTTATTATAAATTATATTATTTTTATTGCTATTATTTGCTTATAATGAAGTTTTATAGTTGATATTGCAATAGTCTGAATTCTGGAAAATGCATTAAAGATCTGTTAGATATTATAATCACAAATTTGAGGAATGTCATTTATGAAGTAAATACCTTCATGACAAAAGTTCAGTGGTTTGTGGTTTGAGTCACTCTTAGTTTATACTATTATTCAGCTTATTAGTCAATATTGACATTCTTTTTTCTATTATGTATTCAACTTAATATTTTATACCTGCTTTTGGAGATTTATCTATTATTGGTCTTTGTAACTTGCCTATTGCTCTGATTATTATAAATATATGAAACCTGTGATTATCCTATTAGATTATTAATATAAAATTCATGTTGTCATAAATAAGCTGGCAGTAATTAAAATGCAACTTCTTAAAATTATTGCAAAAAGTAAAAGAAACAGGAAAAGCTATGGCTTTATTTCTTTTCTCTTTCAAACTTTAAAAAAGATCTTTCCCAAATAATTTTGATTGTCAGCAAAACAATGGAAAATCATTGACATTACTCTGCTTTAAATAAGTATAAAGCTTTTAAAAAATTGTCATAGTTATGCTTTTTCATTAGGAAAAATAGAAAAAAAAACTTATTGTGATTTCATTCTCTTTCATGTGTAGATTTTAAATATATAGCATGAAATGGGTAACTAATATTTCTGGTTGGTCTTAACCCAACAGAATAAGTAAAGTATTATGCAATATCTACAATCAATCAACAAATATACTTTAAGTTCCATAATCAACAAAATGGAAATGTCAACTTCTGTACTCTTCATCCCAGATTTCTTATTATTTTATGTGCATAAAAGTAGCTACATGTTAATTGTCACTAAATTCCAAATGCTAAACATTTAAAATTTTTCTTATTTTATCCTAACTTTAAGAATTCCAGACAATTATTCCTTTTAGTCTTCCTTATATTACACCCTAAAATGTAAGTTTTGTATATACAAGAAAAAATAAACATTGTCTGCTTTCCAATTCCCTGAAACAATCTCCTGTTAAAAAATTTAATAACAACCAACCCTATCTTAAGAAATGTATTGTTTCAAACTCACTTACTCAAATGCACAGCATTTAAAACAGATAACTACATTTTTTCTTTTCTTTTACTCCTTATCATCCACCAGGATAATCCTTTTTGTGGCTTTCAATGCTAACTTCTTTTCTTGTTCTTCACAAGCATGATTTGTTTTCTTGCTTTACCCATTTTTTCTTTATTATTTTCTCTTGTTGCTTATTTATTGCCTTTTCACTTACTCCTCCTTACCCTTTCTTATATTAATTTTAACCCTTTTTATTATTATTATAACATTATAACTGTTGATTACTATTTTATTCTGTCAGAAGTGTGTAAAAACTTTGCTAACTGTTCTCCCCAAAATAACCTTTTCATTTTATTTAGCTGGTGATCACGTACAAACAACATGCAAACCAAATTTATTATTGGCATTTTTTTATTTCCTTGCCTTCTGTCTATTCATTTGTTTTGAAATGGCTGGTTAGGCCACTTTTAATATTAAAAAAATATTTAATTTAGTGCAAATCCCTCATGGAGTTCTAGAAATTTTAGAAATTCTTCAAAAGATATTTTAAAAAAATAGTATTAAAATAATAATTACTTATTTTGCTCGACACTCATGTTTCATGTCTTCATCTGATCAAAAATTGATGAAAATGTAAACATAAACCTTCACTCTTTGATGAGTGTAAAGTCTAAATAATTTACTTATTATAGTATCTTATTTTAATTATTCCACTCCTTTTTGAGTTTCACAATGTCCAACTATAAAAAAAAGGATTTATCAAATTATGACTATTTTTAACAGTTTTAATTTGGTAAATTTACTATTCACAACATTATATATATATATATATATATATATATATATATATATATAGCAATATACATAATATATTAATTGCAATTAATACAAGATATTATGTATATTGCTTAATATATATATATATATATATATATATATATATATATATAAATAGCTCTGTTACTTTACATTGAGCACTGTTTTTTTGTTATTTTTTTACACTATAGAGTATATGTATTTGTATGTGATTGCTCGCTTGTATACCTATGTATATTTACCTATTCTTATTTATATATATACCACTACTTTGTGAAACAATGGAAAATGTGGGGGGGCATTGCCGGCAATATTATCTTGAAGAGAAATTTTAAAGAACCAAATTGTCCAAAAAACAGTTCAAATTCTCTTTCACTACTATCTTGGAGCCCTTAAATTATGCCACAAGATAGCAGTAAATCTATTAAGGATATATGAAATCAAGGTTTATACAGCACAATTTGGATGTAATTTAAATTAACTAAATAGAAAACATAAAATGCATACATTTAATAGATCAGTTGGAATCCTTACACCATTTCATTACCTTTGTCACTGCAGTAGTGGCTAAAGAAAAAATTTGCCTTTACAATGTTAGATATCAATAAATAACTAGATATGGGGTTACTAAATAAAGAAAAGTTATAAGAGAAAGAGTGTGTACATATGTATAAATATTTTGTAATCATTGGAAATTTATAAATTTCTATATAAATTAATACATGTAAAATAAGAAAATGCTTGCCTCTAGTTTATTCTTCTTGCTGCTTATACTATTTTTTTGTATGGGTTTCTTTTTCCATCCATTTAGTCTGGTGCCTTTATTTGTGATGTGAAATCCATTAAAATGCTATTTATGGTTCTTGAAATATTTGTTTATATAGAGTAAGATCCAAAAGAAAAGAAAGACAACAAATTACTGAAATTTAGTAGATTATATTTTGTAAATCATTATTTATACAGAAATGTAGTGAGAAAAATTCATGATTTGATCTTTCTACAAGAATAATCTTGACAGTTTCTTGAACTATACTTTTAGATTCTATTGTATTTACTATTTTAACCCTCTTGAGATATGTAATTTCCAATAAAAAATTATCAAGAAAATATTTACAGCAATGACCTGTTGTTTACTCATACAAGAAAGTCTTTTAGACTTTATATACTTATTAAAGCAATTCACAGATAATAAAATTGTGTCAATTCACAGATCAAGAAACAGAATCTGGGGAGAGTCATGATTGTATACGTTGTAAAAAGACATGGCATTTAAGAACTTATTTAAGGATATTTTCTTCTGTGATGAATTTTAGGAATTATCCTGGCTATAAGAATGATTTGCCATTGCTTTTCTGTTGTCAGTCTGCCATACAAAGCTGAAAGTTCCACCTCCATGATTTAAAAAAAAAAATAGCTTCTGATTCTAATTAATAAACCAAGAAATGATTGAACAAACCTCGTGATTCCTGTCCAGTGTTCTAACCATAAGCTGCTTTTTTATATTAAAAAAAAAATCAATACTGATTAATAAAATATTTCAAAAGAGTTTAACTTTTTACATTATTGGCAGTATGAAGCTGCCAATGTTTCTCTCAAATTTCATATACATTCTATTTCAAGTATCAGTCCATTATTTCTATTAAAAAAAATGTGGAAGAAGATCAGTCAGAATTTTCAAATGGACTGAATGATTTGCCTAGTTTTACTCTAGTTATCACAAGTAGAAAGAGTAAAGTGGTAATACAGAGCTGTATTGTTTTTGCATTGGAGTAATTAAAATCGATTTGCTAATCTCTATTTGGCCCATTTTGTTGGATGTCATGAGAGCAA